AAAAAAAAAAAAAAAAAAAAAAAATGACTTGTTACTTGATACCGTGAGCTGCTGGAGTAGCCTTTGGTAAGGCTGGTCATAAATCTGCCCTGGTGCTAGATGTGCCCAAGAAGTAAACACAGTAAAGTCTGATAGTCCCAGAGTGGAGATTGCTGTTAACTGCCCAGAGATCAATTCTGACCCAGCCCAGCTGCTACTGCCCTAGGCCATGGAATCATTTTTGTAGTCTTTTTGATGTATCTTGGGTCAGTGTCCTCCTCGGCCCGATATTTAATCACACACCATTGTCAGGAAGGTGTACATTTACTTTATTTACTTATTCTTTAATTGTTTTTTTCCAGACAGGGTCTCATGTAGCGCACACTGGCTTTGAACTTACTTGTGCAGGATGACCTTGTACTTCTGACCCTCTTGTAATGATTACAGGTCTGTGCCACTGTGCCTAGTTTTCAGCTGTACTGGGTTTATGGATGCTACCCACTGGACTACATCCCTAGCCTTTAAGTTATTATTACTTTTTTTTTAAGAGTTTTAAATTTTATATGTACAGATGTTTTGTCTGCAAGTATACCCGAGCACCGTGCATTGCCCAAGGAATCCGGAAGAAGTTTTGGATCTTCCGGAACTAGGGTTAGATGGTTGCTGTGCTGGGAACTGAACCTGGGTCATCTGAGAGAGCAGCACATGCCCTTAACCGCCGAGGCAGCCCTGATATTTGAGACAGGATACCCCTGACTGACCTGGGACTCACTAGCAGTCCACTTAGCCCTGAACTTGCAGCGCCGTCTCCTGAGGCTGGGGTTACGGGAGTTTGAGAGCAGGTCTCGGGTGGCCAGGCTGTTCTGGACTTCCCCTCTGGAGTGCAGGCTTACGGGTGTGCTCCATCGTGTCCAGCTGGCTGGACGCTGCACTCGGATGCAGTCCCCGTCTGCGTTCACCTCCGTTGTCGTTGTCTCCCACTCCTTCAGTTAATACGCTGTGAATAGGAAAACATGGCTGCAAAGCTGTAGTAATCCAACTGAGGCGTTGGCAAAGGATGGACATACAGAGCAGTGGTGTAGACACACAGTCCACGGGCAGGCAAGATGGCTCAGCAGGGAAAATACCTGCTGCACAAACCTCGTGACCTGAGTTTGACCCCGTGATCCCACAAGGTGACTTCCCAAAGTTGTCCTCTGACCTCTGTGTCCATGTGAACAGCTACACCTGCCGTCATAAGTTCATTATCAAAAGCAGTCAGCGAGTATGGTCAGCTGAGTGATGAGAGCATCTGGACTGTTGGGTGGGAAAGTACTGTTTTCAACAGATGGTGCTGGACCACGGGGATACACCTGCAAAGAAGGACTCAAGCTAGGTGGTGTGGTGCAGGTCAATACCCCAGCACTGGGCATGTGCGGGGAGGGTTCAAGGCCGTTCTTAGGCACAGTCATAGCTGGGGACAGCTTGGGATACACGAGACCCTTTCTAAACAATAGTCAAGCTCAATACATAAATAGACTGAGTCAGGACCCTGCCTCACAGTGTGCATGAAAGTCAGCAATTTAGTCTGATGGCCTCTCAAAGACCCCAAAAACAAAACAAAACTTTGGAGAAAACATTGATGTGAAAAACAAAACATTAATGTAAACTGTAAATCTTTGTGACTTTAAATTAGGTGATGGTTTCTGAAATATGATATCAAAGGCACAGATAAGAAAAAGAAAAGAGATAAATTAAAATTCATTAAAATTAAAAGCTTCAAAAAGTTGAAAACCCAGAGATAATGGGAAATACATTGTCAGTTACTTATCTCATAAGTGCTTAATATCTAACATACATCAGGACTCTTTCAACTCAGCAATAAACATGCAGAGAAGACACATGAGTGGCCAATAAGAACTGAAGAAGGGAAGCCCTGTGCCTGCGAGGCTGTGCGTTCTTGCTGTTCTTGAGCCTTGTTCTGTGAGGCGATTTGTGAGCACTGACATATAAGACTTGGATGGGGGGGGATTATTTTTGTGTTTTGAGACAGGGTCTCATGTAGCCCTGGCGGGCCTCGCATTTATATAGAATTTTAAAAAGATGATATAGAATGAAAAATGTATTTAAAATATTTTATTTAAATGTATAAATATTTTGCCTGCATGAATGTTTCATATAGATATCATGTGCAGGTGTTTCTGAGGAGGTCAGGGGCATTGGATCCCCAGACATGCTAAGCACAGAACCTGGGGTCTCTGCAGGAGCAGCAAGGACTCTTAGCCACTGAGCCATCACTCCAGCCCCATGCCTAGCTATTTTTTAATCTTTACTGTGCACTAAACAAATCTGTTAAGTTAAATTCTTATTTATTTCAGGTAAAAAAAAATCACTTTTCATTATAAAATAATAATTCGGTGGACTCACTTGCGTTTTCTCTGACTTCAGGAAAGAAATCTGGATGACAAAGCCTATCGCAGCGTCCGGGAGCTTGAGGACTACGCCGAGGGCACGCAGAGCTGTCTGCTGTACTTGACACTGGAGGTGCTGGGTGAGTCGCTCTCTCCTTCCCACCTCAGACTCACTTCCAAGTTTGCTTTGTATTGTCCATAAAGTAACAAGTTTTCCCCTTCTGAGACAGGGTTGCATTGTGTAGCCTAGACTGGTCTCAAACTAGACAGTCCTCCTGCCTCAGCTTCCCCAAGTGCTTTGATTACAGTATACACTATCATGCCTAGCTACAACTTTTATTTATTTATTTTTGAGACAGAGTCTCACGATGTAATCCTGGCTAGCCTGGAACTCAGTATGTAGACCGGGCTGTCCTTGAACTCATTGAAATCCTCCTGTCTCTGCTTCCCGAGTGCTGGGATTAAAAGTATGCTCCACCAGCCAACTTTTATTTTCAGTAGAAGAAAGAGAACATCTGTATTATCTGTGCATTTATAGTCCTTTCGGAGTGCAGACTCGTCCAAGTGCTCAGACTCTCACAGAAGCAGCAGGCACTCATGGGAAGGCTCTGGGTTAATAATCTGTAGTGCCAACGGCTTTACCTTTCCCTACAGCACGTCCTATGACTTCGAGTTTCTGTACTTCAATTCTTCCCTATGGGGTGGAAAACAGAATAAAACCACACTTAAATAATATTTTATGAGATTCTCTTTCTCCTCTACTTTAACAATATTTGAAATGGCACTTTTCTTTTGACCTTGCTCCAAGTTGTTCTCATCTTATTATAAGGAGGAGATCATTGGGGCCCAGGATGATAGTATCTCATTTGAAGAGAGTGATCTGTCTGTGTCAAACCCCAGAATACAGTCCTGTTGAGTGTCCTAGGCCTGTCCTGTTGTACTCTAAAAGAAGGTTGTTAGGAAATTACTTCAAGGGAAGAAATAAAACTCTTAAGTTTCCCATGAAGTCTGATTAAATTCTCAGTGTGTTCTTGGTGTGCTAAAAAGTTGGAGAACTAATGAGTGGAGATTTGGATTCCTGCTGGTAGGAAGATGGTTGGCTTATCCCTGACACCCACTTTCCCTTGTAAATCCTATTTTCCAGATATCTGACAGGATAAATACTTTTTCTGGGTTCAGGTGATGTCTTGTGCTGTTTCCTTGATTTGCTGTGCTTCAAGGACAGGAGAGCAACCCCTTTTGGTGTCTGTAATTCTAGGTGTGAAGGATCTTCATGCAGACCATGCTGCGAGCCACATTGGAAAGGCACAAGGCATTGTCACGTGCTTGAGAGCAGCACCCTATCATGGTAGCAGGAGAAAAGTGTTCCTGCCCATGGATGTCTGTGTGCAGGTGAGGCTGTGACCTGCTAATGATTCTCCGGGGACACCAGGAGAGGAGTTGCTCTTTGTTTTGTTTAGTTGGTTCCATTGCTGTTTGAGAGGTCTGCACATCACTTGCTTTTGCCCTGCTCACTGAGGTAGTCCAGCCTGAGGTGTCTGGAGGTAGTGCAGTAAGAAGGCCTGGTCAGCCTGCACCTCCTGGCCAATGACTAACTCCCTCCAAGTAGTCATAGTAACCTCACCTGAGCCTGGTTGTTATTTTATTTTACTGGAGGGAATAATTTTTATTGATTTTGTTTTTGAAGGGGTCAAGGTCTCTGATAGCTTAGGCTGAACTTGAACTCTTGAATCTTTATGTAGCTGAGGATGGCCTTACATTTCTGATCCTTCTGTCTTCACCCTCCAGTGCTGGGGTTACAGGCATTGGCCATCTCACCCAGTTGGAATAGTCTTTTAAAAATGTTTATTAGAGGCTGGAGAGATGGCTCAGTGGTTAAAAATGTTTATCAGAACTTTGGGTTTTGAATGAGGTTCTTTATTGTCCATCTTTTGAACTTTTAGAAAGGTTCAATTTTATTTATGTGTATATATGTATATGTGAATGTGTATCTTCACATGGATGCCTGTGAAGGCCACAGAGAGTCTGAGATCCTCTGGAACAGGAAGTTCTGAGCCACCAGATGTGGGAGCTGAGACTGGAACCTGGTCCTCTGCAAGAGCAACAAGTGCTCTTAACTGTTGAGCTATCTCTCCAGCCCTCCTTTTAATCCTCTTGTATTTTGTTATACTTTCTCTCTCTCTGAACATCATACACACTGTATTAGTTGGGGTTTGCTAGAGAAACAGAACTAGTAGAATGAATATATATCCTAAATGGGTTATGACATTGACTTCTTCATGGACACGGAATAATCCAACAGTGGCTGCCTGCACACTGGAGAAGCTGAGAACCTGGTCAGTCCCTGTGGCTACATGCCTCAGCAATCCTAGCCTGATATTGAAGGTCTGGGGGATTTCTGGAGAGCTGCAGGTCTCTAGTGCACATTGAAGGCCCGAGAGGCTGGACTCCAGTGTCAATGAAGGCCGACAGCAGTGGCAGCAAATGGCAGATGCACTCATCAGCAAGGAGCAAAGGTGGCAGGCAAAAGAGTGCTGCCCTTCATTCCATCATCTTATACCTGCCCATCTGGGAGGACGCCTCCCCTAGTTAATCCTCCAGACCCACCTGCACGCATGCTTCCTAGTTGATTATGTAGTCAATCAGGTTGATAAAGAAGATTGACCATTACACACTTATTTTTTTCACAGCATGGTGTTTCACAAGAGGACTTTCTGCGGAGGAAACAAGATAAAAATGTGCGAGATGTAATATATAACATTGCCAGCCAGGCACACTTGCACCTAAAGCATGTAAGTAGCTCCTTTGCCCAGTTATTTAGAAAGTTATCCCCACAAGACAGGGCCGTTTCTATGGCATACTATGTGTGGTGGTTTGAATAGGCATTGTACCAGGCTTTTTCTTTTGGGCCACCAGCCAGCTCCCAAATCATGACATGGAGACTTATTAGTTATGAATGCTTGCCCTTAGCTTAGGCTTGTTTCTTGCTAGCTCTTGTAATTTATCCTGTTTCTCTTCATCTATGTTTTGCCTCAGGGCTTTTTACCTTTCCTTCTTTCTGTATGTCCTGCTTTTCCTGCTTCTTGTGTCTGGCTGGCGGCTGCCTGGCTTCTGGCCTCAGGTGTGTCCCTCTCTCCCTCATTCTCTTCTCCTTCTCTTCTCTAGAGCCTAGATTTCTCCTCCTACTTATTCTCTCTGCCCACTAGCCCTGCCTTTCTCTCTTCTGCCTACCTATTGGCCGTTCAGCTCTTTATTACATCAATCAGGTGCCTTAGGCAGGCAAGGTAAACAAATACAACACATCTTTACATAATGAAACAAATGCAGCATAAATAAACGTAACACATCTTTACATATCTAAATATTCTACAACAAGGCATGGCTCCCGTGGACTCATAGCCCATAGCAAGTGGCACTATTAGGTGTGGCTTTGTTGGAATAGGTGTAGCTTTGTTGGAGGAAGTGTTTTACTGTGAGGCAGGCTTTAAGGTCTCATAAACTGAGGTCTGGCCAGTGGGACACAGACTCCTTCTGCTGCCTGCAGATCAAAATGTAGAACTCTGAGCGCCTTCTCCAGTACCACGTCACACCATGATGGTAATGGACTAAACCTCTGAAACAGTGAGCCAGCCCTAATTAAATGTTTTTCTTTATGAGAGTTGCCGTGGTCATGGTGTCTCTTCACAGCAATAGAAACCCTAATAAGACACTATGGATTTATATACATGATAGCATTTCTACAGCATACTATGGGTTCTGACCTGGGCAGTCTTTGTTCCATTGTCCATTGGATCCCCAGGATTTATCTTGGGAACTGTTGGAAACTTTTCTTTCTCTAGAAAACCTTTTCCCATTCCCAGCTGATGGACGCACCCTTTTGTGAGTGAAAAGCCTGAGCTTCCTCACGTGGGCACCCCTGCTCATCCACAGAATATCCTGTCTCTCCTCACCTCACGGAACCCCAGCCACAGCCGCCATTCTCGGGTCTTCCCTCTATGTTCTGGCTCGGTGCTGCTGCCCGCTGGAGTTAGAGCTGGAGCCCAGCCTCCTGGTTCTCACCGTTGAGTGAGTACTCAGCGCTCAGTGTTCCCTGGAGGGAGTGTTCATCACCCTGGCCCGTCCCCTGTGCTAATGCCTTCTAGCCACTCCAATGAGACCATCACGGGAAGGAGTCTTTGAATTTCCCAGTCGAAGAGTCACTTTGCTCTTGATTTTATGCCTTTTTGACACTTTTTTACCTTGAAATTTACTTTATTTCCATTTGGCTGTGATGGCTCCTAACTGGTCCTGAGTTCACCTGAATTGTTTTAGTTCTCTAAGAGTTTGTTCCGGGGAAGGGTTTGGTGGGAGGAGGAGGGGGTAGAGAAAATAATGGGGGAGGAAGAGTATGATGTGTGTGTGTGTGTGTGTGTGTGTGTGTGTGTGTGTGTGTGTGTGTGAAAATGTGAAAGAATGAATCTTTCTTAAACACTTCCATTGGATAGCCCAGGATAGTCTGGAACTCACTGTGTAGACCAGGCTAGCCTCAAACTCACAGAAATCTGTCTACCTCTTCCAAGTTCTAGGCCTCTCTTCCTGGAGATTGGTAGAATGACCTAAACGGAGAATTGCAGTTTCCAAAGTGTTTTGTTAATTTGTTTGTTGTGGCTGGACATAGTGGCACATGCCTTTAATCCCAGGGGTAGGCAGGTCTCTGAGTTTAAGGCTACTCTGGTCTACAGAGGGATTTCCAGGACAGCCAAGCTATACAGAGACACCTTGTCTCAAACAAACAAACAATAACAAAATTATTAAATTAAACAATTGAGAAAGGGTTATTTGTTGTGTAGTACTGGGGAGTGGAGTCTCCCACATGCTAGGAAAACCACCAGTGAGCTAGCATCCTTGATCTCTAAGGGATTTTAACAGCCAAGACTGAAGCACTTTATTGGTTGCATGCAATCCACTCCTGGAAAATAGGCTTGGAGTGGTGAACTGAAGAACCGTTGATGCTTTTGGGAGGCTCTTGAGAAGCACAAGAACACGGAGATGCCAGTGTACACTCAGAAGCAGAAGCCTGACTGTTTGTTATTCTGCATTTGTTAATTGTATTGTAATTTTACCATGCCCCAGCTTCCACATAGATAAGAGGACCATGTTACTTCCTACCCAAAGTGTTGTTTAGATAAATGAGTTAACATACGAAGAGTTAATAATAGCACCTGCCATATAGTAAGTGCGATCTAAGTTAGTTTGTGCCCCATCAAGTAAAGCTGGGACATTAGTCCACAGTAGAAACCTGGCAGAGGTTTTGTTTGTTTCTGTTGCTTTTGGTTTTTTTGAGACAGGGTTTTGCTATTTCTGCCTTGGTAGGACTTCCATTGTAGTCTACACTGGCCTTGGATTTGTGATCCTGTTTCTTCGGCCTCCCATGTATTGAGAAGATAGGTATGTGCTATCATGCCTGGCTCTAGCAGTGTTTGAGACAAGAAAGATTGGGAGCTGAGGGGCTGGAGAGATGGCTCAGTGGTTAAGAGAGCAGATTGTTCTCACTAAAGGACCTGAGTTCAGTTCCCAGCACCCACATCAGACAGCTTAGAACCATCTGTACTCCAGCTCAGGGGCAGGGGAGATCTGATGCCTCTAGCCTCCATGGGCACCTGCGCTCATGAGCACACAGACACACAAATATACACATAGCTTTTAGGGAAAAATTGGGAGCTGGGAGATGAGTTGGTGTCTCATCACATCTGACCCCACCCAGCTTGGTCTTGGTCCTGACTGGAGCGTCTCGAGAATGAAGAAATGACAGACTGAAGAAATAGCAGTGACATGTAGGGAAAGGCTGGAGCTGGGTGTCTGTGCTCACTCTGAGAGCAATTCCTCCTCACCTGGAAACTCAGTGTGTAGTCTGTCAGCACCCGGAGGAAGGTGTAGGTTCAGTGGGAGGTTCTGTAGGAGAGCCGTCTCAGGCCATGGACTTCCACATACTCTGTCATCATTCACACACAGACCAGGGGAGGCTTGGCCGTTGCCATGGGTCTGAGGTGGTGGTGGGGCTTGCCATGGCTGTGCTTCCCACAGTCGGATTACTTAGGAGAAGGAAGGAGTGTCTTTCAGAGAGAGATGCATGTGTGTATATATGCCCACACCCACGTAGACCACACAGTGCCAGTCAGATGCAGACAGTGGTGTGCTCGGTGCTGATCTTCATTCTGGCTATCCTGACATAGGGAGATGGGCTACTGGAGAATGCAGGATTGTGACTTGGGAAGGTCAGAACTGGAGTCAAAGCTGTAAGTCCAGATGCTATTGCTCAAGGAGAGTGGTCCCCTAGAAGAGGATGAGGGACAGAACCCTGCGGCCACATCCATTCATCAGGTAGAAGGAAGCAGGGCCACTTACTAGGAAGAAGGCGAAGGGCAGAACAGGAGTGCTGGAGTCTGTATCGGAGAGCAGGGAAGAAAGGACCCCATGTCCTGTGCTGCAGAGAGGCTGAGAGAAAGGTGACCGCGGTGGAGCATAAAACCGTAGTGTGTAGTGGGGAAGTGAGGCAGGATGTGCTCTTCCTCCTGAGACCTGGAAATAAAGGTCGGTCTGGCCAGTGCAGGGTGATGCTTCGGCCTGAGTGGACCAGGTGTTCATAGCCTACAGGAAGAGTCAGGTTGAATTGAGACTAGGGTTAAATACAGAGACGTTTGAATTCCAGGAAGAACAGCCGATGACTTGATCAAGGTGAAGTAATGATGTAAAGACATGAACTAGACAGAGGTGGGAACACCACCTGAGAAGGTCATCTGTGCTGGATCTAAACAGGAGTTGTCTAACCTAGGAAGGGTTACTGAGAGCTGAGGGTAGAGCTAGTGTGAGATGTAAGGGAGTTGGAAAGTTCCCCAGCGGAGCCAGAAAAGGAAGAGGCTTTAACATGACAGGCAGCTTTGCTAAGTCCATGGGGCTTTGAAGCTAAGCTGGCGGCAGGAGACGGTTTCTTGTTTTGTGAGAGGCCCTTGTCGTGTCTAAACTGCCGCTGCTGCCTTGTGCTCACCTCAGAGGGCGACTGCTACTTCAGAAGCATTCCAACCAGTTTCTTTCCCTCTTCCTTTAAGGCGAGGTCCTTGCACAGAAGCGTTCCTGCGAAAGCATTTCCTGCTTTTCTTCAGACGGTGAGTGCTTCAGTGGAGAGGGCTGGGTAACAGGTGCACAGACTAGACCAGGCCCCACTGTCCTGCTTACGGTCGTTTTCCTGCCTTGATTGTGTGATGGTCACACTGTTGATGTAACCAACCGTCTTATTAAATAAGAAACACAGAAACAATGTAAAAGAGAAAGCTGAGAGGTCAGAGCTCAGAGCTAAAATCTCACCCTTCCTCCTGCTGTCCCAGCTTCGCGAAAAAAGACCTACTTCCTCTCGGTTCGTATTTTTAAAGTA